TAGAGGGAACCCATTGTTCATTTAGGTACAGGGAGCTTCAAAAAGTTCTGGAAAAAATGGAATTTAAACATGATGGAATTTTTTCATGAGCTTTTTAAAAGTCCCATTCATACTTTCCTTTTGCTTCAATATTTTCTCTTTTAAATTTCCAGCAGAATAATATATGGTACTCAAATAATAAACAGTAAATAGCACCCACCCACTGCCATCAAATTGATTCCTATTCATAGCAACCCTGTAGGACACCGTAGAACTGCCCCATACGGTTTCCAAGGCTGTCATCTTTATCAATCCGATTGCCTCATCTTTCTCCTGCAGTGCGTCTTACTGATTCAAACCACAGATCTTCCAGCTAGCAGTGGAATGCTTAACCACTGCACCACAAGGGCTCCTGAAACAGTACAAAAGGAATTATAATAGGTTTCTTACGTGTTTAAACAGTTTGAAATGAAAAGGAACAGTTCCCTAACCCTGTTCTCACTTCCTGAAGGAAACTCAGTTGAACTGTTTTAGTGTTAGTTCTGGTGACCAACTAGCTCCCTAAATCTAAACGACGTGTGTTTAGTGATGTACCTTTATTTGCCAATGGAAGACAGTTTCCCTTGACTCGTCAGTGTAAAGGATCGAGAGTTAGCTCACATCATCCTGACTTCAGTACATCTCCTTGGCATTTTTGCTAGTTATTTTGTTTTCAGACTGTTAAGTGATATATTAAAAGTTGCTTGTTGTTTCCTCAACTTGAAACAGCACCTCTTGACTTGGTAACTCATAAACTTCGTTCTCCTCTCCTACGTTTCACTTCTCAACTTATCGGTGTTACTATTTAAAGTTTCGTTTATAACTATATTTAAGACTTTTTTATTTGACTCTAGATAGGTACTTAAAATTAAAACAAAAAATAGCATTACATTACAATGGCAAGAACTATCATTTACATGATAATGACAAGTACTAGCATTTACATTATAATGTCAAGCCCTATTTATTACTAATATCTACTGTTACTATTCTTGTGCCCCTCAAAAGAGCCGTGATCTTAGCACCAGGGCCAAACTGATCATTTTTTTTTTGTAATCCACCACTTACTCAGACTTATGACACTAAATGTGCTTAGGCTGTGGTTTATCCAATTGCTGTTTGCTTTTCCAGGGGTTTCTGGTTGTTCTCTTGCACACCTGTCAGTTCAGAGCTGGGGCTGGCTCCTCTTTTTTGCATTTTCTAGGGTGCCATTCCCTCACTTTTGTGTTAGTTTCCTAAGTCTTCCAGGCACACTTCTGTCTTTCCGGTAGTGTCTTTGCTCTGTTCCCTCTTTCTGGAACTCCTGTTCTAATGTTGGACATTCTGCACTGGACATCTAATTTTCTTTGTTTTCTGGCAGTATTTAATCTTTTTATCATTATGTACTAATGTCTTAGTTACCTACTGCTTCTACAACAATTAAGTGACTTTAAAAAACAAACCCAGATTGAGAATGATGATGGCAACAAATGTACATATGTGCTTGACACAATGGATGTATGTATGGATTGTGATAAGAATTGTATGAGCCCCCAATAAAATGATTTTTTTTAAAAAGAAAATTCATCCCCTTCCCTGTACTTCCAAGAGTATCATTCCATTAAAATATAAACCCAAACTAAAAAACAAAAAAACCCCAGAAATGTATTCTCTCTCCGTTTGGGAGGCTGCAAGCCCCCAATGCAGGTGTCAATAGGAGCATACCCCTCTGAAGACTACAGGGAGGAGTTCTTTCTTACCTCTCCTGAGTCTCTGGCGTGTTCCTTGATTTTGTTTTAGGGGACAAAAGAGGTCTCAAACGTAATTTAAGAAGAAAAATTTGTTAATTCATAAATAGGAAAAGACAAAACAAAGACACATCATCTTGATGAGGGAGACCATTAGCAGGAGGTCATAAGGACATCCAAGGGTTTGCAGAGATCCAGAAACTTAAAAAGAACATGTGTGGCAAAGAAAACTGTCACAAAAGCACGATTGGTGGCAGATCAGTACATCACAGATGGGACTACAGAAGGGGGAGCAGGACCATGATTGGGACACTCACTTTATGTTGGACAGAAGAGTTTGCAAGATTGGTTCAGAACCCCGAACCAGGATAGTCAAGGTGTGACTCGTGACCATGAAGCTCTAGCACCGCAGTTTTCATTAAGGGCACACCCAGGGGCATCCCCAAAAGCCATCCTACTTCTTCCCAACTGGCTAAGGGGGTGACAGAAATACACCGTCTGATGCACCCTGCCTGAAGATTAGGCTATTCACACTGCCCATATTAGTGGTCATAAGGAATTCAGTGGAGGCTGAGTTTATGTGGAGACTCAAAATGAATTTGGGACTTCCCTTGTGAACTGTAGCCTTCTGCAAATGCAGTGCTCAGGAATTTAAGCTCGAATGCTGCTGGCAGTTGCCTCACTCCAGTTTCTACCTCCATCACTCCATGGGGTTCTTCTTCTCTGTGTCTGGGTCTTTGTTTCTTCACATGGTCTTATCAGCACTCCAGTCACTGGATTGAGGGTCCACACGAATCCACTGTGACCTTGTGTTAGTCCGGTTTGACTAGAGAAACAAATCCAGAGTCACTCATATATGTGTAAGAGAGAGCTTATATCAAAGAGCAATTGTATAGTAAGAAAACATCCCAGCCCAGTCCAGATCAAGTCCATGAGTCCGATATTTGCCCATAGGTCTGATACTTGTCCACAAATTTCTCTTCAAACTCACAAAACACATGCAATGATGCTGAATGCAGGAAGATCAAAGGCCAGTGGGTGTAAAGTCTTTTAGATCCAGTGGCAGTGGAAGCCTCTCAGTGCTGGCGTGGCTTCTCCAGCCACGTGGCTTCTCCAGCTCCAGGGCTCTGGCTGCCGTCAGCATGACTCCATGTGGCTTGTCATCAGGAATGTGTAGCAGAGAGAGAGTCCCACCTCCTGGGAGGAAGACAGGATTTCCCAGAATCCTCAGGGGAAGGCCATTCCCGCACAGCGGCATCATTGGCTATGACATGATTGACAGGCTAGACTCCACTCCTTCACTCAAGTTGACAGGAGATGATGTAATTGCCACAAAATTTAGCTATTAACATCTGTAAAGACAAAAATTAGAGTGCATTCAAAGGTGCTAGGGCATACGAATTTGGGGGGAACACTGCTCAACCTGGTACTTGTTAATACTTTTTTATCTTGCTAGAATGTGTTGATGTCTATGGCCTATTGATGACCTCTTCTGTTTTCTATGATTTATTCCTTCTGTGATTTATTTGGGATGCTGCATGGAAGAGAAGATACGTGTGTTCAGTATACTATTTAGGCCTGCTTCAAGGTTTATTGATCACTTCGTTGAGAACAGTAGTCATTTATAACTGTTAATGCATCTGAATTGAAGAGTGTAACTTCTTGCTTCATGATAATCCAGTTTCAACCTAGGGGTCCAACAGGTCTGCTCCAGCATCACATTTGCATTTGAGCAAGGCAGGAAATGAAATGACACAAGAATATGACTGGTTCAAATTGATAAGCAGTGTTGGTTTTGTTTTAACCAGGAGGCCCTTCTCATAGAGCAAACCCTCTTTGTCCTTAGTAACAACAATAATAGTCAAATGAGAACTCACTATGTGTCAAGTATGGTGCTAAGTGCTTGGTATACATGATATAATATGACCATCAGGATAAATTCTTCGAGGAGAGTACTATGAATGCTTGTTTAATAGATGAGGAGACCTAGGCATAGAGAGGGGAAGGAGTGTGTACAAAGTCAAACAGCAAGGTGAGTGTAGCCTGAACGTTTACTGGGTCAGTCTGGAGGCCCATGTTCTGATCCACTGCACTACATTGTACCCTCCCTTCTCGAACCTAGAGTCTCATACCTGGGAAGACCCTTGTCATGCCCTGAGACTGCTCTTGTCTCTCTGACTGTAGGAAGGATCACCAGAGCTCACCACCAGTGCAGTACAGGGCCCTGCGGACCCTGGTGGAAGCCATGCTGAGTCGGTGTGCAGATTTCTCCCAGACTCCACTGAACAGAAGACCACTGGTCAGTGCATTGCAGCCTGTGTCTTCCCGATCCTGCCGTAATGCATTTTAGAAGGATAATTCATGCATTGCCTACCCCCATGCCACTTTATAGGGTATTCCCTTGCAAACCGCCGTGCACTAAAGCAGTGCTCTTTTATCTAAATGTAGAGTTGTGAGCCTTGAAGATCACTATCTCCATCTTTATAGGTAAAGAAACTGAGGTGCAGAGGGGTTAAACGATTGTTCTCCACAGTCCAAAACTAGCAAAGACCTGAGCCTGGGTATTTGGTTCCAAGCCTGCATACTTTATCTCTTTACTTTCCAAGCAGGTATGATAAACACACACACAAATCATTTAATGCTGGATTCATGGGAATTAGAAAGAGCTTGACCAATGTCCAGTGTGTTATAATTGATTGGTCTTGAGTAGCCCTTGAATTTAGGCTCTCAGAATTATTCTGCATGATTGCTGATGTTGTTCCCCACCCCCCACCTTTGGTACTGGCTTTGGAAGCTAAAGTTCTTCATAGTGAATGTGATGGGATTTTCTTGTTTTGGAGAAACATGGATGTTAACAACCAACCAGTCAGGCTAATGCCATGTAATAGGCCAAGAGCCAGTACTGCGTGATTCACTGGGAGATAGCTTGTTAAAGTTTCCCTCTCTACTATTTTTAGTGGAATTATTAAATGCTATAAAGCGAGGAGCCCTGGTGATGAGTAGGTTCCATGTTGGGCTACTAACCACAGGGTCAGCAGTTCGAAACCACTAGCCACTTCATGGGGAAAATATGAAACTTTTTATTCCCATGAAGATTTACAGCCTCTGAAACATACAGTGGCAATGATACTCTATGGTGTAGGGTCACGATGAGTTGGAATTGATTGAGGGCACTCAAAAACAGCAACCAAAAACCACCAAACTCACTGCCTTTGAGTTGATTCCTACTTAGAGTATTAAATTGCAGTGTCTGGCAGTAGCAGACCTGAGTGGGGGTGGGGAGGGGCCTGTCCAAACACAGACAGTAGGTCCTTCATTGACAGTTTCTCCTCTCCCTCTCACCTCAGGGCCACGCCTCCAGCAGAGACTCGGAGAAGGCCCTTTTGCGCAGGGGAAAGTTCCTCTTGGACACTCTGGAGGGCTTTCGAAATGCCTGCAGGTGAGGGGCCCTGTGTGTTCTGAAGCATTAGCCTGGAGGGCCGGAGTGAAAGGAAACTCCGACCAAGGATGAAGTTCTAGAACAGCACTTGGTTTCTGCTCTGCCTAATGGAAGGATCTTAGTTGGGAAACCAGAGTGAGGCCTGGGGTGGGATGTGGAGTGGACAGGCAATTTATACTAACGATTCTCTCTTGGTAAAACCTTTGCTGAGGGCAGTAGTGGTTCACTGGTAGAATTCTCACCTTCCATGTTGGAGACTAGGGTTCGAATCCAGGCAATGTGCCTCATGCACAGCCACCACTCATCTGTCCATGGAGGCTGTGTGTTGTGATGATGCTAAACAGGTCTCAGCAGTCTCCGGACTAAGTGAGACCAGGAAGAAAGCCTGGAAAGCAACAATCCACCAATGAAAGCCCTATTAATCACACCAGTCTGAGTTAATGGGATGGGGCCAGATAGAGGGCAGCTCAGACAGGACCCCTAGTGTGTATGCATTAGGCTGCTAAACACAAGACCAGCAGTTGGAAACCACCAGCCGCTCCATGGGAGAAAGATGAAGCTTGCTACTCCTGTAAAGAACGACCATCTTAGAAACCCACAGGGGCGGTGGTACCCTATCCTGTAGGGTAGCTAGGAGTTAGTATAGGCTGGACGGCTGTGAGTTTTCAGATCAACAAAATCTTCACTCCTTTGCTGTGTTTCATTCAGCTTTGTTCCCTTTGCTCCCCTAAGCTAGCATGCCGAATGCTTATTGAATGTGTGTAGAATTTACTCAGCTCAAATGAACAACGGTTCGTTGTATTTCCTATGTGCCGCCTGGTGCTAAACAGCATTCCAAATAGAGGGAACAGCCTGTGTGGAGACAAAGTTGTGGAGTGGCCAGCGGCTTGTATGTTCAGGGAAGCCCTTCAGGTAGGGCTCAAGAGTCCTGTGGGACAGTGGAGGAGGGGGACATAACACTCCACTGAGGATAGAGGGTCATCCTCTCCTTGTTGAAGTCCCTGACTTTTCCAGCTCTGAGGATGAGGACACTTCCCTGGACCCCAAGTTCAGGCTACCTCAGGAGGGTGCTTCTGTGCTTCCTACGTGATGGACTGGTGCACATTGATTTCTCAGGTTGGCTGTGGAATTTCAGAGTGAGCCGTCAGCCCAGGAGAACCCGTTCACAGCTCCAAGCGCCGAGAAGGAAGACACCTTGGAGGCCTTCTCCGAATTTCTCCTCAGTGCCTGTGATTCCTTGTGTGTCCCTATGGTGATGGTGGGTTTCCCAGTGCCGTGAACATGAGCTTGGGGGAGAGAAGACTGAGGCAAGGTGGGCTGCAAGGTACAGGCCAGTGTCCATGCAGTTGGACCAACTAAGAGCCTCAGGGTGTTATTCTTATAGTCACCTCTCCTTTGGTTTTAAGAAGAAAGTGCCGTTTTTATTAGAAAACAAAATGCTGCCTCTTAAGAACAAGTAGCAAGCAGGAATCGTCTATTGCTCATATTTACCTGTCGTAATCCTCCCAGTGATCCTGTGAGATGAAAACTTGAATTTCTCCCAGTTCCTAGATAAACTCCAAAGTCACTGAGGCTGACCTAGTCTTGGGGTGACGAAGCCAGCACATAATGCTGCCCAGGTTTGCCTTGTGAAGAGTAGCAGTGATTGTTGGGGTTCAATGCCACTATGGAATACAGGGTTGGGAAAAGACTCACTTTTGAGGTGACTTGGTAGGAAAAGCAGGGTTCAGGGCCACTGGCTCCCAGTAAGCCCTCTGCTGCTTGAGGTTGGACATTGGGGAAGGGGGCACCTCCTGAACATCTACTGGGAACAGTAGGTGGCAGCAGAGCTCTGACTCTGGAGGGTGAGTGTGGCACATCCCTGAAATAGCTGCTGAGCCCAGGCCAGTCGGTCTGCAGGCTATGCTCACAGAGGGAGGTGCCCAGCTGCAGCTCTGAGTCATGCACTGTCCCACTACAACCCCAAAACAACGTGGGCAACTCACCATGCTTTTCTCTTCTGCTCTGCCTTCCTCCCCCGTTCACAGAGCGTTATAGACGGGTTCAGAAAATGGTTATGTCCTTGCTGCTTGCTGCTTTTCTGTATTAGCATACATTCCGTCTATAATTTAAAACAAGTAAGCAATAAACCTAACTTTGTTTAAAAACCAAAGGAAAGGTATCTATAAAAAGACGCTCTCTGAGACCTCACCTATATTCAGATGAGGGAAATGAGAGCCAGAGAGGGGAGGTGGCCCTCTGTGCAGGGGATGAGAGCCTGTTTTTCTCCTGTTAATCCAGACCTCTGTTACTACCTCATAGCCATGCTCAGGAATTACATGAAATTAGCGTGAAGGTGGTTTGTGAGCTATATGCTATTATTATAAATCTAGTAGTAAAAAGATAGTGTTTTTACATATCAGGCTTCATTTGTTCCTGTTACTCTTGTTTTTACACTTGGGGATAGAGGCTCAGAGAGATGTATTTTGTATAATCTCTTAGGTAGTAGATCCAAGCCTTGGCTCTAACTTTGTGACTTCAGGTTCCCTTGCTGTTCTTGTTTCCCGCAAACAGAAGGGCTCTGATCTTCTGTTGCTGGATTAGGTGCTAGTATTTATTTCTTCTGAAGCTCAGTCCTGATTATTTACAGAGGCACTGTGAGCAGGCCACCCACCCAGCCCTGATGGAAGTTTTCCTCTCAACTCTAGACAGTATGTTTATCATTGTTCCCCGCATGAAGGAGAAGTTCTCCAAGAAGCTTGGTAGGTAACAGCAAATAATGCGAGTTGGGTCAGGAGGGAGGCAGATCTGTGAGTACTCCATTGGAATCCATGTCCACTTGCCCAGTGTTGAGTAGACGGAACTGCCCTCCAGCAAACAGAAGTCCGAAAGGCAGTTCTCCAGAGTGTCCATTGAGGGTCCTGTCTGAGTCCACAGCACACCCTCTTGGAGCAAAGTACTTATGAGATGCTCTGCGTGCATTTTCCTTATGTAGCTTTGCAGCAACCTATGAGGTAATTGCTACATTTTGCAGGTTTCTGAAGAGTCTCAGAGGAAATTGAATGACCTCTTCAGAGTCACACTATTAGTGGTGGAGGAAAATTTGAACTTGATTATTCCTCCCAAACCAGCGCCCTTTATTACCCCAGACCTGGGAACCTCTATAGCAAGTCTGGTTTACAGCTTCCTGCCTTCTTCCCACTTCTCCCAAGCTTCCTCGTCCTTCATACGCCTCACCCTGGAGCTGAAAGCCAGGTTCTGCAGTGGCCTGAGGTATGTATAGTTCCAGGCAGAACTGAGTGGCCAGGAACTGGTGTTTTCTTGACAAAAGGACTTTCTGTCTGGTGTATTTGCCTTATTTTTATACAAATTACATATATATGTCAACTTCACCCCTAGATATCTGCATAAATGTGCTATGCTAATTTTATATGTTTTAAAAGTTAGTATAGCAGCTTAAGAAACTAGCAAAGGGTGGGAGGGCTCCATTGGCAAAAATTGTGCAACAAGGGAATTACTTATATAAAAATACTGCAGTCATAGAGCTGTGAGGGATTTGACACAGCAACTGAGCTGTGAACTGGATGTGCTTTGGTAAACAGTCCTGAACGCGGTTGAGCTAGGACTCTTACTCCGTGTGAAACTTGGATGAGCCCTGTGCCATGTCAAAACGGGGAGGGATGTTAGAGATCATTTGTCAGATCCCTCATTTTACAAGTGGGGAAACAGCCCCTCGTAGGGTCAGGGACAGACCCGAGGCAGGAGGGGAGAAGTCAGCACAGCTCTTCTTCAGCTCCTGCTCAGGTGCCCTCTCCATGTACCAGTCTGTCCTCCACGTGTCTCCTTGCCCAGCTTCCCAGATGCTGTGTCTGCCAACGAGGGTCTTGTTCTAGCTGCTGCCAGCGTGGCAGAAATTCTCTGTGCATAGTAGACAGGTGGCTGCCTCAGTCTGTCGAGTTGGTTTGTGGAACAGCCTCTGGAATGTCCCATTTCTTTTGCCCCCTCTCAGCATTTACTTAGTGGAGTCTACTTTTCCTACCCACAGTCTGTCTGTCCACAAGTGACCACAGAATGGTGTCCCACTCTCCTCCCATCTCTAACTAGAACTCTCAGTATTCAGGAGAGAACATAGGAGACCATCTGGACTGCAGGGTCAAAGCCAGGAGTTTAGATGTTGGTTTTTACCCCTGACTCCCTGTCTTGGGTTCAACCACGTCCTGCTTGGAGTGGGGTACTCCTTCAGTCCTTTCCAGGACAGGGACACTTGCAAAAATGTGTCTGTCTTGTTATATGGAACCTAGCACTCTCTCCCTGATTTGTTATTTTCAAAAAAATTTCAGTGAGCGCTAAGTGCCTAATTTACAGCTTTAGGAAACAGGTTCACAGCCCTCCCAGGACCTCCTCTACCATGTCCAAAGAGTCACCTGTGACACTTAAAATTCATAGGGACCTGGCACAAAACAGTGGTGCCCAGGAACATGGCAGGCATAATGCTTTCTGAGCAATTTTGTCTCTCATGTTTTCTCATCCTCACTCCCTCTAGACACTCAGCTCTAAATCAGGTCTGTTCCAGTTTCCTCTACTCCATGTGCCTCAGCCTCCTCTCTACTTTAGAAAAGACAAGACCACTTTCCCAAGAAGGTAAGTTTCTACAATTTTCCTATAATGAGTTCTGTGGTGGGCAGAACCAACAGGCCTGGCCTCCTGGCCTCTTAGGGTTCTGGATGCCTTGTTGACTGAGTAGTGGATCAATACAGTAATGAATTTAATTATACACCCCAAAAATGTGGGTTGTAAATCCTAATATCTGTACCTGTGGTAATAATACCATTTGGGATGGTGTTGTTTATGTTAATGAGGTAAGGCTAATGTAGAGGACATCTTTAATCAATCTCTTTTGAAATAAAAAAGATTAAGGCAAGCAAGCAAGGAGAGATGGTAAAAAAGAGGTGACAGCCACATGAAGTTCACCCAAGCTCAGAAGAGGCAAGGACTGTCATCCTAAGCCTGCCCAGAGAAAATCCTTTCCCTAGAACTTCCCCTGAATTCAGACTTCTAGCTTCATTGACAATGAATAGATTTGTTCATTATACCCGTCCACTGTGATATTTCTCTGATAGCAGTGGTAATAAGATCTAAGACAAGTAATAAGATCCTTTTGCTTTAGCTGCCCAGAGAAACCATGGAATTAGAATAATGGTGCCATAGGTTAATTCTTAGGGCAGTAAAATAATGGATCAAGAAAATGATGGATAAGTGGAGAGCAAATGTTTTGGGAGTGATGAGGGCAATGAATGTACAAATGTGCTTGACACAACTGATGTATGTATGGATTATGATAAGAGTTGTATAAGCGCATAATAAAATGATTTTTTTTAAAAGAAAAGAAAATGATGGAATCCAAGCCTTCTGCCACCTTAGAATCTCAGGACTGGAAAGGATCGTAAAGATCAAGCCCAATTCTCTTAACCATCTCTCTGTGTCATCCCCACCACCAAGCTTCTTTTTAAAAAAATCATTTTATTGGTGGCTCATACAACTCTTATCATAATCCATAAACACATCAATTGTGTCAAGCATATTTGTACATTCGTTGCCCTCATCATTCTCCAAACATTTGCTTTCTACTGAGCTTTTGGTGTCAGCTCACTTTTCCCCCGCCCTCCCCACTTCCCCTCCCTCATGAACTCTTGATAATTTATAAATTATTATTATTTTGTCATATCTTACACTGTCTGACATCTTCCTTCACCCATTTTCTGTTGTCCAACCCCTAGGGAGGAGGTTATATGTAGATCCTTGTAATCAGTTCGGTTCCCCCTTTCCACGCCACTCTCAGCACTGATCATAAAGGGATCATCTGTCCTGGATTCCCTGTGTTTCCAGTTCATGTCTGTATCAGTGTAAATCCTCTGGTCTAGCCAAATTTGTAAGGTAGAATTGGGATCATGATAGTGGTTGGGGAGGAAGCATTTAGGAAGTAGAGGAAAATTGTATGTTTCATCATTGCTACACTGCACCCTGACTGGCTCATCTCCGCCCCTTAACCCTTCTGTAAGGGGATGTTCAGTTGCCTACAGATGGGTCTTGGGTCCCCAATCTGCACTCCCCATCATTCACAATGATACGATTTTTTGTTTTTTGATGCTGATACCTGATTACTTCTATACCTCATGATCACACAGCCTGGTGTGCTTCTTCCAT